ATTATTCATCAGCTTCATGAATATAATTATGAAGCTTCATCAATATAAGTATGACCCTTGTTTGGTCTTCAATGCATTCATTTATGTATCTATCTCATTATTGCGCACCTAATGATAACCATATTTGAGATTCGATTTGATGAATATACTTGTGCGTTTCAATTGATCCAATTAGTAGGCAATGCGGGACAGATAATATTTTTTTACTGTTATTTTATTGAGACATTGATTCTTGACTCACTGTCTTCCTTTTCATGCTTCCTTGGGACTATGTCAACACAAACTTCATTTTTCACGCTTCTTTGGGGCCATAACATTAGGCGATCCACAAGGTGAATCGCTAGGATGAGTAACTCCATTCTTCAACAACTCCATAACTCGCTCTATGATCTCTTCATTCGCAATGGCCGAGTTTTGATACATCGGCATATTTGGTATCAAGTGCATATCATGCTATATAGGTCACTTTTGTGGCAACCATACCTCTTGAAAGATTGGTGCATATTTCTCTAATCAGTTTCTATGGTTATAAATCCCTAGTTTTGTTCAATGTTGAAAGAGCAAAACTCTTTTTTTCCTTTATGATGGGACTGATAAGCATAAGTCTAAATTTTTGTTCGGCATTAAAATGTTTGCTTGGTCTGTTGTCATGGCATCCTCTACTTGTACACCATAGTCTTTCTTCAATAAGCTCTGTTTCTTATTTTTAGTCATCTGACATTAATAGGGATGACAATATACAATTGCACACCTATTATGCATGTATGAGATCTCTAAGATGACACTAGAATTACCTTTCATAGCATTTCATCTATGTAGTTTTTGGTTATTATTAATTTTTGTCAACATTGGCGGTCAATCCTCATCATGGACCCTTTTTATATTTAGATCCAAAGGAAGGCTTGGATAAAGATGATGTCCAACCATAAATTTTAAATCATAATGTTAGAAATGAGATTCTTCTGGTTGTTGGTATTAATGATACAAATACTTTTTATATGACCTAGAACTCAAAGTGAAAAGTTCTTGTGTGTTCAGGTTAGATGATTACCACACCACTATATTAATTGGTTTTATACACGTATAAAGTGAAAAGCACCCATGACAAGGTGAAATAAGCCTCTAACAAATTGATACATGCATCCAACTTTTCGGTGTTAATTATCTCCACCTTGGCTTCTATTTGAATGGTCATATCCTTCCTTTGTAAGTGGTCCTTATATTGTCAACTTATCTTCTCCGGTCATATTTGCATCTAGTATGGAAAAAAGATTATGACTTGGTTCACTAGTCGTGGTGGTGGTTATTTGCATCCTCATCTATTGCATTATGGTGACCATCTACTCCACAGTCTAGCCACTTGATCTGTTACATTTGGGTTAGAATTATTATTAATTATTGATTGATTTCTTATTCTTCTTCCTCCGAGTTCTTTCTTGACTCTTGGTGCTTCTTCTTGATTAGAAGGGGTTCTCTTTTGCCTATACATTCCTTTTTCGTTTTGCAACATTCTCCAATTATGTGATGCTTTGATACCAACTTGATCTGCATACTAATTTCTTTATTGAGTTTTTTGGATTTAGCACTCTCCCTGATTTCAATTTTTCTTTCATTGAACATCAGAAATAAAGTGTCATTTTAGGACTTGATGACTTCAAAGCAGTACTGCAGTCACTATTATTTACCTATTTGATTGAATGAACTCTTGATTCAACGGCTGAAATCCTTCAAAATTACAATAGTAGTAGCTTCAGAGCAACATGAATATATGGCAAGTAAAATAACAGTTGTTGTGAAACCCCTTAAATAAAATAAGTTAAACTGTTAAACATCGAGACGTCTTTTGGTGTGATAGTTGAAATTTCATCAAGAAAATTTTGCAATTAAGTGTACTCATCCCGGAGAAATCCTGGGATGGGTGATCTCTAGGAAAGTTACACCATCATGAAAAAATCATGAGACTTTTAGGTCAAAGCAGACAATATCTCAATAGTTAAGAGTTTGAGCTGTTACAAATGATATTAGAACAATAATACACCAGCCGGAAGATGGGAACAAAGTTATGAAAATACAAATTGCTATGCCATGGGAAACACCTCGTAAGTCCTGTATGGGACAAAAGGGTTATGTGGTAGGAGTCACCACTTGAACTTGTAACGGCCACTTCTAGAATCCTATATATCTAATGAATGATTCTGGGATAAAGATACTAACAAGAATGTCAGTTGCTTAAGTGAGAGATATTGTAAAATCCCTTAAGTAAAATAAGTTAAACTCTTAAACATCGAGATGCCTTTTGTGGTAATGGTTGAAATTTCATTAAGAAATTCCGCAGTTAAGCTTGCTCCTCTCGACGGGTTATCTTATTGGAAGTTACACCAACACGGCAAAATCGTGAGGCCCTTATGCCAAATGATATCAGAGCAATAATAATACACCAACTGGAAGATGGGAACTAAATTTCATATAACACAAAGTGCTACGCCATGGGAGCCATCTCTTAAATCATGTGTGGGACAAAGGGTTACGTGGCAGGAGTCACCACTTGAACTTGTAGGGGCCACCTCTAGAATCCTATAGGCTTGGTGGATGATTCTGGGATAAATATACTAACAAGGACGTTCATTGCTTAAGTGAGGGAGATTGTAAAACTCCTTGAGTGAAATAAGCTAAACTCTTAACATCGATACACCTTTTGTGGTAATGGTTGAAATTTTATTAAGAAACTTCGCAGTTAAGCGTGCTCATCCTGAAGAAATCCTGGGATGGGTGATCTCCTGAGAAGTTACACCAACAAGGCAAAATCGTGAGGCCAGTATGCCAAAGCAGACTATATCTCGATAGTTAAGAATTTGGGTTGTTACAGTTGCAACAATGAACAACAAATAACAGGTGCAACAAAAACGAAAATCTAGTAAAAAATTATTAAATAGTAACAATAACAACTACAATTAAATAATAATCTTACTTGTTAGTGACGAAAGGAATTTCTAGATTTCAACAAATATTAGACTTAAAAAAGGTAGAAAAGAATTTCTAGATTTCAACAAATATCAGACTTGAAAAAGGGAGAATAGTCGGTTTTTGAGAGAGAAGAGAAGCTAGATGAGTTGAAGGAAATAGTTCACTTTATTGATTCATCCTAAATAACAAATTGGAAGGGCTTTTTATAGCCAAAATGATAGTATGCTATCCAAATAAGCAAAACAACATACCTAATGGCCAAGATGAGCTATTCAATACTATTAACCTTTATCTAAATTCTTTTCACACTTTATTTAAATGTTTACAAGGAAAATACCTAGATAGTATTCTTAAGAATTATCTTCTTTTGATGAGGGAGATTTCCTCGGTTTGAATTGTAGCGGATTGATTTGATTTTCCTTTATTTCCTCATCCTTTTGTGGTTCTGCCTCCTTTTAGAAGAGTTGGTTGAATTATTCAGTATTTTTTATTTTTCCTTTCATAATATTCTAAGTCTACTTCATGTGTCATTTATGATAAAAATAGTGGCTTTCTTTGTGTATTTGGCGGATGTCTAACCTTAGAAGGACATATTAAAGTTTTCTCACAATACTAAAAGGTAGGATTCGACGCTATGATACTAAATTATGATCTGAAACATAGCAAGATATACTTCGTATCCAATCTTCTTAATGGATGGGATTACAATAGGACATTTTTTTTATTCAGATTGACTACTCAATCAAGGAAAATCAAAGTGATAATTTAATTTGGTTGGTCTAACAAACTTTAGGTAAATTTTTTATAAAACTTAGAACCTATTAGACACAAAGGATTTACTTGTAGAAACTTAGGGACTCTTCTATTAGATATATCCTAAATACAAAGTAAGAAATTGTAAAGAAATCTCATGTATTTTGAATTTAGTGTAGATGTTTAGTTGAATGTATTCCAAATGCAATGAAACAAAAATTTCCATTTATTTTGATGAAATTCAAAAATGGTTTACATATCAAGGTCATGGTGGGAATGAGGTCAGACGTTAATTAGGTGAGGGCAAAGGCACCTGAACATGAGGGCAAAACGCAAGTTGTAGGAGTAGAGGTTGCGTGGTTTGTTAGAGGCAGATTCGTCTGGGTGGAGAGCACCAATTATTAGGTTGTATTCGAGGCAGAGGGAAAAGGTGGAGTCACAAAGGTGGATCCAACATCGCAGGAGGCGCTTCACAATTATTTCTCTTCCAATCAAACTATTGAATTTTCAAAACCCCCAACATTTTGTTTTCTCTACATTCCGAATACATTTAAAGAACCAACTCTGTGGTGAGTGGGATACCGATCATATAAGCTTGGGAAACTTTCTATTTGCATGTTTATCATCAATTTTTCATCTTTGACACTAATTTAGAGAGCAAATTGCATCGACAAGGCTCAGATCTTCAATGTATTCATGCTGTCAGTGGCTGAAACAACGAAGTTGTTGTTTTCCTGCTCTGAGAACACTTTGCATGCTGAGACAGAGAGAGAGATGGAGACTGGAAGGCTTTAGAGAGATGATAGGAGAAGCTAGATGAGTCAAAATAAATAATTCGTTTCATTTATTTATCCCAAAAAAGGAATTCAAAGGCTATTTATAGCCCCAAAACATTACTCATGCAAGATGTAAATGTTTATGAAATTTATTTAAATGTTTAAACGAAGTACTTTGCAAAATATTCTAAGAATTATCTTCTTTTGATATGAGCAACTAGGGGAGCGATATTTCTGTGCTGTGAATTTTGGAAGAGTAACTCTATTCTTTTTAAATATTGGAAGGTTAACTTGCATTTTCTTTTCTCGCTCTGAAATTGACACCCCTATTCTAAATTCTTTTTAATACTGCCAAGTTATATTTGATATTGCTATTTTATCTGTCTTTTAGAATTAGCTGTAAATTTACAAGCTTAATACTATCATTTACTACTATTTAGCGCTCCAAAATGTTATTTTACAACAAAAAAATGATACCTCCCGTATTGTTCATTTTACTATTTACAGAACAGGTGATTCCCGTGGCTTCGGATTTCTATCCTTGGAAAAGGATGAACACGCTGATGCAGCAATACGTGCTGTGGACCAGACTGAGTGGAATGGTAGGATTCTCCTGGTGGAGAAATCCAAGTCCTCTTCGCGCTGAAGCCTTTTCTTGTATTTTGCTCAGAGAATGAGGGATTACCATCCAATCTCAGTACCTGTAGTTCTTCCAAATATATGGCACCGATAAAGATTTTATGGCAAGTATGACTTGAAAAACCTCAGCTTTTGTATTACAGTTTTCCTCTTTGTCAAACTAGACAAGTAGTATCTCAAATTTTAGTAACTTGGATGTCTTTTTTTTCAATCTCTGTTCACTTTTAAATTTCTGAAACCTTAAACTTACTGTTAAATCTAATAAGAAGGTGTTTGTTTTGTTAAAAGAAATTGCATGAAATCCTCTTTGATGCTTCACCTGCAGATTGAAACAAAAGACACTCTGTACCCTCTTTTGAATGTTTTGGAACCTCTAAATTAGCGATGGCAAAATACTCATTGACTGAACCAGCTTCTTCCTAATTAGTCCCTGTGGAGTTCCCTACTACTACTAAACTAAAAAGGTTCAAGTTTTCAGCTTGGATTAAGCTTGCCAGAGCAGTTTATGGTGAAGAAATACATTTAGTTGCATCTTTTAGTTCATAAATTTTTCAAATTAATATCACCTTCCCTAGAAACTTTCTTTTGTTCCTGCAGGCAATTATTTAGCTTGCATAGAACCACAAGACTGTACCTTTTGCTCATTTCTGCCACATTAGGGAGATGATTGCAGCTTCTCGAACTTTTTCCCATCGTTAGGCTTCATGTTCAGGCTGAGTGACACAGGCTTATCAAGCTTACTATTCCTTTTTGAAGCCAATGGATGAATGAGTAATATCTGCTGAAATTCATTTCATAATTTGTTTTCTTGGAGCATATGGTACATTTTTTATGATATTGGTCAAGTATTGTGAAATTTTTTTTTTTTTTTCTTACATATATTGAGTGTCAAGGTAATCCAGGGCATGTGCGACAGTTTTCTTGCTATTTTATTTTGACGAGCACCATCACTTTGTTATTACTTTCTTTTTCTGCGGCGAATTAGAGCTTTCCACAGCTAGATTTAGGATTTAGACTGTTGATTGTAAGAAAATTATTGTTCAATTTTTCTAACGGAAAAGAGTTTATAATACCCCAAAAAATCTTTGATAACCATATTTCTTACAATAGTGTGTAATTGAAATCAAACATAATCAAATGATTTATGAAAAAATCATAAGAAAATTCATAATTATTATGAAAATATGCACATAATAATCTTTGATATTACTATAATTAAATAAATAATTTAGAATATTCATCAAACTTATGGTGGATTATGCTGTTTCTGTTGAGTTCCCCATATTTGATCACAAATAGTCTCTCTTATCCATTGTTGCTGTGACTGTTCTCAATTGTTGATGTTTCATGCTATTACTGTTTGTAATACTAATAAAGAGTAATTATATTAATAGTTTTTTTGTTTTTTTTCTTCATTTTAGAATTGGGTAAATTTAGTTATGATTATTTGATTGGATCATTTTCAATTAGATAATTTGAGTGTATAGTTGAGGTGTGATTGTATAAATTCAATGGTCTTCTCTCAGCCACATGATATATTTTGGATGGCAGAGATTTAATGTAAAGAAAATCATAGAGGTTTTATAAAAATAGATTATAGATTAAATATTAGTCGTCCAAAGTGGCAGATGTTCGGTGGGTGGGAAGCATAATGTATGGTTCACATCTCAGTTGTAGAGGATATGGATCCTGGATATTATTCTTCTATTTTTTATGGAATGTTATAAATAAAACAAAATATTTTTCTATTTGATTTTTTTATATACAATATTATTTATTAGGTTGATGCATGCTATTGATGCTAACATTGTTGCTTGCCGTCACTCCTAATGCTGACGTAAGTGAATTTTTGTCACGGAACTATAATTCCTTTGATCACTATTATTCGACTACAATCATTCGATCATTTACATTCAATTATGATTCTTTGATCATTCTTAATAAAATTTTTCATCTCTCTTATAATTTTTTTTTATGCATGTCTGAATGCTAAGAAAGGCAGAGGTAGACTTAAAAAGAAGGTAATCCAGGGCATGTGCGACAGTTTTCTTGCTATTTTATTTTGACGAGCATCCTCACTTTGTTATAACTTTTTTTTTTCTGCGGCGAATTAGAGCTTTCCACAGCTAGATTTGTTAGAGACTGATGATTGTAAGAAAATTATTGTCCAATTTTTTTCGACGGAAGAGATTTAGTTTATAATACCCAAAAAAATCTTTGATATGCATACTTTTCTTTCAATAGTGTCTAAGTTTAATCAAATCTAATCAACTGATTTATGATAAAATCTAAATAAAATTCATAATTATCATGAAAATCTGTTGTGTTCCCCCACATTTGATCACAAATAGTCTCTCTTATTCATTGTTGTTGTGACTGTTCTCAATTGTTGATGTTTCATGCCATTATTGTTTGTAATACTAATAAAGAGTAATTATATTAATAGTTTTTTTTTTCTTCATTTTAGAATTGGGTAAATTTAGTTATGATCATATTTGATTGGATCATTTTCAATTAGATGATTTGAGTGTATTAGTTTAGGTGAGATTGTATAAATTCAATGTTCTCTCAGTCACATGATATATTTTGGACGGCAGGGATTTAATGTAAAGAAAATCATAGAGGTTTTATAAAAATTAGATTATATATTAAATATTAGTCGTCCAAAGTGGCAGATGTTCTGTGGGTGGGAAGCATAAATGTATGGTTCACACCTCAGTTGTAGAGGATATGGATCCTGGATATTATTCTTCTATTTTTTATGGAATGTTATAAATAAAACAAAATATTTTTCTATCTGATTTTTTTATATACAATATTACTTATTAGGTCGATGCATGCTATTGATGCTAACGCTGATGATTGCCAACATTGTTGCTTGTCGTCACTCCTAATGCTGACGGAAGTGAATTTTTTGTCACGGAACTACAATTCCTTTGTACATTATTATTCGACTGCAATCATTCGACCATTTACATTCAATTATGATTCTTTGATCATTGCTAATAAAAATTATGATCTCTTATAATTTTTTTTATGCATGTGTGAATACTAAGAAAGGTAGACGTAGACTTAAAAATACTTGGTTAGAAAATATTAGAAATGATTTTTTTATTAGATTTAAATGAGTGTTTGAATTTTAATAGAACACGATGAAGAAAAATGATTTATGTAACTAACCTCATGTTGTGGGATATTTTTTTTTTATAAAACTAAAATGCTAAACCCTTTCAATGCCATTAAATTTTCTAGCACAATAAAATAAATTTTCAATAAATTATTTATTTCTTCTCATTTAAAAATTTAATTCTATTAATGGCTGTGTTAGGCTTATTTTAGAGAATCAAATTCATGCTCAATAAAAAACAAATCAAATCTTGGAGTTGAAGAAAATGAAAGCAAAGGATAGAATAATGACAAACCTAAAATTTTATCATCATAATTTTGTACTTAAATCCTTCAAATTCCATTATTGGCAAAAATACGCTATATTAAATTTATTAAATTAGTGTTTATCGGTTAGGATAATTTAATATATTTATAATTTCTATTAATAAAACAAGCAAAGATTCATTGTCGTCTAGTCCGGTTAGGATATCTGGCTTTCACCCAGACGACCCGGGTTCAAATCCCGGCAATGGAAAATCCGGTTTTGTAATATTTTTTTATTGCATTTCTTAATAAATTGACATATTTTGCAATTCCTTGTGTAATATAATTTAAATAAATTTACCATTTTCGTAACAATAGAAACATATATAAAATAATATATATATACCTTTACTCTTTTTTGTACTTTGAAATTTTTATATCAATTAAGAAAAATTCACACATATATTAAGCTCTCAACCAACAAGTTGCAGCACCATCGAAATACAACTTAATTTTTCTGCTCTACTAAACTCATAATATGTTGTGAGGTATTATTATTGCCATTTAATACCAACGAAAATGCATATTATTTAATTATATTATGAGATTTTCTTCGTACAAAATTGAGTCTCAAAGTACAAATCCGCACACACGGCACACGCGTACTAATATCAATCATCGAACATATGCCATCCCCATAGACGAAGTTCTCATCAACAAGGCTAAAGTATAGTCGATTAGGGGTTTAAGTGAGTCAAGTTGACTCATGAGCCGGCTTGATAAATGGCTCGTGAGTTGAGCTCAATGACCTAACAAGCCAAACTTTAGCTAACTTTGACTCGACTCGTTAGCTCGTGAGCCAACTCGTTTTAAAAATATCAATATAAAATTTACTTAAAATGTATTAAAAACCAAGATTTTTAAGTATAAAGTTATAAAAAAAATGTCTTATAATTATATCTCAATTTCTTAAATAAAGTGATTCTTTATTATTTTTTATAATTTGTATTTTTTTTACTATTTTATTAGAATAATTGCTAAAATCATAATCATTTTCTCTCTTTCATAATCAACAAACCAACTCGAACTCCTATAATAAAGTTTGAGCTCAAGCTAGAATTGAATTAATTAATCAACCTCAAGCTCAAGCCAGGCGTGACTAAAGCTCAACTCGACTTAACTCATTTATACCTCTACATGCAATGCATCACTAGCTAGTCTAGATTTGATAATTCTTTAAATAATAATAATAATAATAATAATATGATGAATCTATACCCTTAATGAACATGTATGAAGCTATGGAATCATTTTGACTGTCTAAATAAAAAAAATAATTACATATTATTTATCCTTTGTATTTAAAATTTAAAATGTGGTTGGTGGAATGATGGAGATTTTAGCCTAAATATTGCAATAAGTCAACTACCTAATATTATTTTTATCATTATATTTAATTGTTATGGTTATTTTTTTATTAATTATTCTTTCTTATCTTTTGCTCCACTAAAGAATGAGTGTTGATTAATAGCTTTGGGTGATGCTAATTGCTACATTTTCTAAATCCAAATTTTATGATGAATTTTTAATAATTAGGTGATCATTTTTGCCAAATTTTAGGGTTTATATGTAATATCTCCTAATTTATAATTATTTCTCCCACTAAGAAGGAAATTTTGGGTATTTTTGCAACTTGGTTTTTGTCCATATTATGGTAGGTAGGCAAAGTACATAATGACTTGTAAGGATTGGCCTAAGTTAGGCAATATTTCACCTACCATCAATAGTTATAATATTATAAGTTTCTTTTAAAAAAAATTATTAATAATAAATATATTTAACTCATATTTATATAATTTTAAAATTTT